TGGTCCTGGAGAGCTTGGAGAGCACAAATCCCGCACAAGAGGCTCCCTGGCCATATCATCAGGAAGACAATGGCGAAATCAGCGCGCGCTCCATACCAGCAAGAACGACTGCGAAAGGAAACATCGCGGCTCTTCGCCCAGTTCTTTCCATGATCAACCGCAGGACCCGGCTGCATTTCCTGACAATAATCTCGTCAATCTTGATTTCAATGACATGCAGCACCACGCAATGCGCGAGCTCGTCAGCGTCAACCCCGTAAATGTCCATGGCAGCCCATGCGCCAAGTTTCACTACCAGCTGACATAGCAAAAACAACTCTCTGAGCCACCGGATTGTCCAAACATCAAGGCCCCCCTCCCTCCCCAAGATTTTCGGCAGAAAAACCTTTCCGAAAAACGACTTGTTTTGACAAGTATGCACACCCGCAAAAAACAAGGTTTTCGGTCCAAAAAAAGCACCCAAAAAAAAGGCCTAAAAAGCATGTCCTTAAATGACGCACTGCGTTGCTCTGTTGCTGGGGACTTTTCATTCGACATGGTTTGTTTCTGTCTCTAGCAATTTTCGCTACACAGCAGCAATCTCCGCACACGCTTCGCATTCTCTCGCGGCCCCTCGCAATGGACGCCAGCTTGCAAAAGCTCATTGAGGAGAACCGGGGGAACCCCGAATTCTTACGCGAGGTGATCGCAGCATTGGCAGCGCAAAGCTCCTCGCATGAGTCCGCATCAACGCCAACATCCGCGTGCAACCTCGCTCCGCATGCTGCATCGCGTGCAGATTTGTTGAGAACCGCCTGCGCTGCCGACGGACGCATTGCCTGACGACCCGCATGCGTCGCCCGACATCGAAGAGGTGGAGACAGACGGCGTTCAGCATCTCGGAGCCTCCAATTGTCAGGGCCCCACGGGCGGAGCTCGCAGAGGAAGAACGCAAGGAACGTACACACCGCCGTGATCCCAGCGCCCGAGAGCATGCGTGCGTCAGCGTGCCAGGAACCAGACCCTCCGCCTCCGCATAAAGCACCTCCGCAGCAGAGTTCCCGCCTTGCATGCCGTCGCATGCGTCGCACCATTGGCCTTTGCATGAGCAAGACCCCGGCGCGTTGCAGGGGTTCGTGTGGCCTCATGACGGGTCTTTCTGGGCCAATTACTGGCATCTTGGCGGGGTCCCGGAGGCAGCAACACGCTGGGTCAGGCGTCGTCAGCCTAATTACCCTGGCTCCGCCGTGTAAGGAGTACAGTAGACTGAAACTCCGCCCCGGAGGTTCAAGGGCCTTACGCACTCCCACATGCATGCAAGGAGTGCCTGACCTGTCCCCCAAGAAAAATCACGCGTAGCACAAAGCCGGGAAATCCACAGTAAAAGAAAAAACTCTTCAAAGTGGTAGCCACTCAGGGCGGCGTGGCGGTGTTTGAACAACCGCCTTCCAGCATGGCACGGCTCGAGCCGGAAAATTTTCAGCGCCTCAAAACTTTCCACGGGCATTTGGCACGGGTGGACGCATGCCAGCGCAACATGCCATTCGCAAAATCTTGGTGCTTCGCGTGCAACAACCCATGCGTCCAGCATGTAGCAGCCCGCTGCAATCACCCGACAAAGCACGTTAGCGTTGCAGGAGTGCGCAACAGCTCAGGCCAATTCCTGAGCACCTTGACCGCAGAATACCCAGCAAGCCTGGCCGCAAGCCTGGTCACGCATTGTGCATTCAAAGTCAGACGCGATCCGCTGGTACGCAAACTTCGAAAACCGTCCATCCTAACTCTGCGCTCCAACAGACCCAAGGTCTGTGGCGGAGCAGGCGCTCCACAGCGGACCACTCGGTGCCCCCCGACCATCCGCTGAGGATGGTGGCGCGGGGCGGAAACACAAAAGTTGATCCCCAAAATTTTTTGCCCAGGTGTCCGCAGCACTCATCGCCTTTGGGGCAATCAACACGCCTGCCCCAGCCAGCCTGGCTCCCGACAACGGCCAGCCATACCGGCTGTCACTGTTGCATCCTCCGCATCTGAGGACCCGGACATCAGACTCCTTCCCTTGCTCGCCGAAGAGTTGCCGCGTAGCATGCAGTGGCCGCCCAAGGAGCGCGCACACCTGACAGAATGCGTATGCAACTGGAAAGCCGCCGAAGCAGAGCCCGAAACAGTGTCTGCCCTCTTAGAGAAAGAAACCAACGGGTGGGTCGTCCGCGCAGAGATGTCCGTCGAGCAGGTCAGACAGCATTGGCGCAAGGGCATTGCGGTAGGCAAACTCAATGTCGTGCACGCAGAAGGGAAGGAACCCATGCCTGGTCCTAGACAGCACCGTGTGCGGAGTAAACCCCGAATGCAATATCCCGGAACGGGTCAGTTTGCCGATGGCATCCGACGTGCGCCTCGCATTCATGCCAGAAGACACGCATGCTTCTTTCATAGGCGCTAGCTTTGACTTTAAAGCTGCACACAAGCAAATTCAGGTGCACCCTAGCGAACACGGCTTGCTCCTCTTTCGCTTCGCGGACACTCTGTGCCATTACCGAGTATGCCACTTCGGAGCCCGGTTCTCCGCGTACTGGTGGCAACGCGCAGGAGCATTCTTGCTCAGGCTATTACACGGGGATTTATCAGCACACCCGCACAGAGCTTGGTTGTTTGTAGACGACCTTTTGGCCGCATTGCGCCGCCAGACGCGCATCAACAACTTGCGTTGATTGTCATATTTTTCGCCACCAGTGCGCCCATTTCCTGGAAGAAAGTGCAATTCCAAAAACTGCCTGACGTGGTGCGGATGGTCCATTAATTTCCTCCTGGAAACCATCGAACTCTCACCGCTTAAAACCCTTGAGCTTAAGGAGCAACTGCATGCCCTGCTCCGATCAAAAAAGAATCAAGAGAAAGCTTTTGGAGCAAGTCCTGGGGCTGCTCATCTGGGCCACCAGCCTAAGCCTGGAATTGAGATCTTGGCTTGCGCCTTTATATGCAGATCTGCATTTGCCACCAGGCTGCATGATCTCAGTGAACGCACGCCTGTGGCCTGCCTTCCTCTTGGCGCTGAACGCCAAAGCCGTACTGGCCACGGCTTTTCATGCCGCTTGGCTGAATACCAGGAAACGCCAGTACGCAGCCCATCCGACTTGCCTAGCCTGGTGCCCAGTCACAAAACAGCGTGGGCGCGCATGGCAGACCCCGCTGCCGTCCAAAACAAGCAGGGCCGACATAGAATGGCTTCTTCAATGCTTTCAGGCAGACTTGGCATGCCCGCTGCAAAGCAAGCCAATCCTGGCATGTGCTGAAGGCGCGAAAGTGGGCATAGGCGGCTGGTTCATATCCAGCCGGTCCGTTTCCTGGTTCGCAGAAACCTGCAATTTCCAGGAAGTCCAGCAGCAATGGCCGTGCCTCACGAAAGAGGCAACGCTATATAGCTTGCTTCGAAACCTTGGCCCAGCTTGCGCTCATGCGGGTGGCTTGGACCACCGAAGGCCAAGCAGTGCGCGGCCTATGCATGCCTTCCGGCACTGATAATACCGCATCCAAGGCCGGAGTGAACAAGCTGTTCACCACAGCATGGCCCTTGCAACTTTTTGTGCAACTAGTAGCCGCACGGGCCTACAAGCACAAATGGTCAGTGCTAGCCTCGCACATCCCAGGCGAGCGCAACGTGTGGGCTGACCAGCTCAGCCGCGGAAACACGTCCGCATTCGACAGCAAGCCGCGATTTCTGGCCCCATAAATCCGCGCTGTCATTGCATCCGCCCACGCCCCATGGCGGCCGGAGCATAAGAGTGCTTCGCAAACGCTCTGAAGAGGGGGCGATAGATTAGGCCGTTTGCTTGGAACCCTGAAGTGGGGGCATTTGAGAAGGCTGTGCAGGGGGGTGCAGACACGGGGAAAGGACACGCATTGTCCCTGCACCCCCGAGCCTTGACTTCCAAGCAACGCCTTATAAAGAAGAAGAGCAAGCGCACCTTTTGTCGGTCGTACTCTTTTGTCTTTTGCTGCATGTTCCCTTACGGATTGAAGCAGTGATCAAGATTCTAACAGAAAAAAAGAAATAGAGAAAGATAGAGAGAGCAAGAGGAAGAAAGAGAGAAATAAAGAGAGAAAAAGAGAGAGAGAGAGAGAGAAACAGAGAAAGAGAGAAAGAGAGAAAGAGAGCAAGAGAGAAAGAGAGAAAGAGAGAGAGAGAGAGAGAGAGAGAGAGAGAGAGAAAGAGAGAAAGAGAGAAAGAGAGAAAGAGAGAAAAAGAGAGAGAGAGAGAGAGAGAAAGATTGGGAGAGAGAGAGATAATATATATATATATATATAACATCATAGATATACCCCAACATTATTGCATCACCTGTCTCATACACGCTTTCGGGATAATCGGTGTCTAGTTACTGTTTTGTTTTTTTGGGGTTCCCGGTGTTTTCCACTACGGGGCCCAGAAGCTATTTTTTGCTGGGGTCCTAATTCCAGCCAAGAATGGGTGGTCAGTCAAAGATCCTGACACATTTGGAGGAAACAAACCCGCACCAGGGACTGAAGTTGTAAGAAGGACCGTTGGACTTATCAAAGGAACAACTCAATGGTTTGTTGAGCCACGGGGCTGGGCCAGCGAACTGCCTGCCGCAAGTTTTCGAACCCTCCGGCTTCCTTCTGACAGCAATTATTGACCAACATTCGAATTCTCAATGCTCTGAAACCAGCGCAATCCGGGAAAGTAATTCTTGTCTTTGACGTGCTCAAATCATTTGTTTGCGGTTTCCAGTTTTGCATCCTGCTTTACAGATCCGGCGTGATGGCGTGGTCTGTTGCGCAACACTTTTTTGGCTACTCCTTCTGCCGGCATTTCTGGCTTTCAGCTTTGCATGCGACAACATGTGGACCATGAACAGCCGGCGAGCAGCTTTCCGGTGGATGCCAAACACCAGAGGGCCAATCAGCTGGGATAGCCGATCAGACAGAGTCCAGCAAAAAACACCAGCCTGGTCTTTATCCACAGCCTGGTGGGGGTTGATTGTGCCAAAAAATGAGCACCTTTGGCACAAATTGCCCGCCTTTTTTGTGGCAAATTCTGAGATTCGGGTGCAAAGGACACCAGCCTGGTGGAAGATGGCTCCAAAGCTTCGGCGACTTGGCCAGCTTGAATGTTCATCGGGTTCTGTTGTGGACCTACAGCTTGGAGAAACGACATTGAATGACACCACAACTTGAATCTTATTGCTTTTCTGCCTGAATTCATTTTCTGTCGTCACAGGTTCAAGAAGTTGCCAAGGTCAAAACCAAGCGGATCCCATTTTGGGGTGGGTGCCACGCACCCATTTTAGAACCTATTTTAGCGGGGCTTGGAATGTTCAGCAGCAGTACGATGTAGGTTTTGACCCACAGCCATATCGCATGCGAGCTGTTCACTACATGAGCCACAATCAAAACTTGGGTAGATGAAGGTTCGTAAGGGACAATCCCAACCATAAATATCAGCGGCCGCCTTCTTGATTCTTTACATGGTTCTGGGTCGACCATTTTAATACCAGGTTTTGGCCGTGACTCACATGCCGTGCATTGGCCAGGCTTGGCAAAAAGTCCGATGCAGCGACCGAGAGCCACGTGGAGCGCATGGCGCGGTTGAGCTTGCAGAAGGCGAGTCTGTGGGCGCAGCTGATGTATTTTTTTTGGGAAAAAGTCCCACAAACAGCAACAGTAAGTTTTCCTTTGGCTTAGGGAAAACCAAAGGGACACCATCCATTCGTGTATTGGGGGGCGAGGCCCACAAACAGCAACAGTAAGTTTTCCTTTGGCTTAGGGAAAACCAAAGGGACACCATCCATTCGTGTATTGGGGGGCGAGGCCCAAAAGCAGCAACAGTAAGTCTTCGTTTGGCTTAGGGAAAACCAGACACCGTTGGGAAGCCTATGTTAAGTTCGTTGTCTCTCGTGAGGCTCGGTGCATGAACAGGCAACCCTCAATTGGTGGACTGGTAGCTTGGGGATTTGAACGGCCTGCATCTTGTGGGTAAATGGGAAACCACCCCTTTACCGCACCGGTCACCACTGATCCAAACCACCCACTGGGAGCTTCGAAGCGCTCCGAGCTGTTGCAGTGGTTTTGTTTGGTGATTGCATGCAACCGTTTTTCGGCATGGACAGATCCGCATCATTAGCGCGCTCACCTGGGGGTAAAACGCTTGGGGATCCAGTTCTTATTTGAGGCTTTGGAAGTAGTGTAGAAATCGCTTATATATACAAATAAATTCATATGTATATATATATACATATATATATATATATATACATATATAATATGCATATGTATATTTCTGGCAGACGGGGGACAACGTCACAACAGGAATTCAACATGAGCGAGCCGCCCCCGGTGGAAAAGGGTTCGACCGGAGAGGCCAACGACAGCCTTCCCGAGATGGACCGGCTGCTGAACACGCTGCCCAAAGCGGTAAAGCAGTTCGTGGACGCGTATAGCGCTTCGGCGGAATGGGTAGATCCTTGTTTAGGGGGACCGGGACACGGGTGGTTTTCCACACCAAATTGCACCCCTGTTTTTTGGTTTTTGGCATCTAAAACAGGATGTAAAGCGGCGATTTGGGCCTATCTCCTTTTTTAGAACTCCCCCAAACAACATATAGAAATAGAAATAAATAAATAAAAGGTAAATTGTATTTTTTCCATATGGTACCCCGAAAAAAAGGAGCGGGCCAAACTGCAACAACATGGGCCCTGACAAAAGTGAGTGGCGATTGCACGGAATATGATGGACATTGATTTGAATGGTAATTTCCTTTTCTGACCTTCCTGGCAGAACTGCACATGACTGGGTTTTGGATGTTGCTCGTGTAGCTGTTCAATCCCTGATTTGTTAAGCATCCCTTCCCGTGCCAAACCAATGCTCGTGCATGACTACTGCTTCTGTGGGAAAAGCGAGGCCATAACTCAGTTGGGGATGCGAGGCGTGCAATGCGTGCCTATGCAACGATAGTGCAACAGCGAGCATGATCCTTCCCAATTGGATGGCAAGAAGGGGCGGCCGTTTCTGGGCGTGTCACAAGATGAAACCATCCCAGGAGGATTATACCTGACGCCCGCCCTTCGCGCCAAATTTGCGCATCCAAGTAGCTCCGCAAAAGCAGCCAGCAGCACTAGCTTGTTCTGTTTCTTAACCCAAAGGTCGCTGACCTTCAGGCCTCGGCTCACATACTCATATTAGAGTTGTCAAATAGGGCGCTTTTTGGTAAATAGGTTTGAGGTGCGGACCCAGAATGTTTTGAGCTTTACTCTCAGCATGTCATTCTTGAACTGCGCGTGCCGAAAGCAGCATGTTTGACATTGTTTTCTTTACACACGCACACATACACGTACAGAATGTAGTAATACCAGAACCTTGTCCTCACTTTCTGCAAACTCAGTGCTTGGGTTGAGAATCCGTTCAAGATTTGCCACCTTCCCACATGGACGACTTCCCAAGAGAACACATCTCCCCGTTTTGATTCCTGGTTGTGACGGGTTTCATTTGTGAATCTGCCGCCTCTCTTCCTATGCGCGCTTTTCCGCCATCTCCTCTACGTGGTTTGCCTGAAGATAAGACTCCGCCAAACTCGGAAGAAGTTCCGATCTTGAGCAGCACAGCGGATGCCTTTTTTTTCCCCCCCCTTCTAGCAAATGTGGACTCAAAACGAAAAAGCGCGCGTGACTTGAGCTGATACTAAGAAGATCCGCATTTGGTGGGTTTTCGGACGATTACAAGGGCAGCCTCTCAGAATTTGGTTTCCCGGCCCAATTTTCCACCGACAAGGCTCAACCTGTGATCCCCCAAGTAGGTGTTCGGACCCCGAAAAGGGCCTCGAATTGGGGGAAGTTTTCTTCGCGGCAAGAGGGGCCCCCAATTTTCTCGTCCCTCCGTCCAGTCCATTCCATTCCATCCATTGGTGGCTCCCAGCCATCCCCTTAGCCTTTTCGCTTTGTGTTTAGTGGGGATGTTTCCATTTAACCCACTCAAAGTTAGTCACTTTCAGCGGGGGATCAGAAAACGGGCACGTCCATCCATCCATCCATCCATCCATCCATCCATCCATCCATCCATCCATCCATCCATCCATCCATCCATCCATCCATCCATCCATCCATCCATCCATCCATCCATCCATCCATCCATCCATCCATCCATCCATCCATCCATCCATCCATCCATCCATCCATCCATCCATCCATCCATCCATCCATCCATCCATCCATCCATCCATCCATCCATCCATCCATCCATCCATCCATCCATCCATCCATCCATCCATCCATCCATCCATCCATCCATCCATCCATCCATCCATCCATCCATCCATCCATCCATCCATCCATCCATCCATCCATCCATCCATCCATCCATCCATCCATCCATCCATTTTGGCAGCCAAAATCACTTAGTCCTTTGTGCAGATAGCTTCATTTAGTTCTCGGGGGCGACCCTGGGGCTGTGAGACACGCCGCCGGCCTTTCGGACGTCGCGGCCTCAGACGCGATCCGCGAGGCGGCCTGAGCAGCGAGGAGCTGCTGCTGAAGGCGCCTGCGTCGCTGGAGCCGGCAAAGACCCTGCGCCAGGCCAAGGGGGCGGCGGGGGGTTGGGGTTTGGGGGTTGGGTTTGGGATGCTGTCACTCAAGAAGACTCACAAAGGAACAGAAAAGAGATAGACCTCTCTTCGTTCTGTTTCTCTCTAAAAGTTCCGTGATTTTACTTTCCTTTCATGTTGTCCTTCTCACTCTCTTCTCATCAACAACATGAAAGGTAAAGAGAGTCCGAAATCCTAATGTTTTATTAAGCTCTTTTCGTAATCACTTTACTATCTTATAATGCTTTTTCTTACTTATCTTTTTCTTTTATCATTTCTTTTTTATTATCTGCCTTGAGCATTTTTTTTTTAATTTTCATCTGGTATCTCTTCTCTGAGTCTTTGTCAGGCTTCACACGGTGGGTCTTGTCTAGTACAGCTTATTCCAGCTGGCCGCTCCGTGTCCAACCGTTTAATCTCGGAGAATGAAGGATGACGAAGAGAGTGAGACAGTGACGTGGGAAGGTAGAAAGTGCATGAATCGCTAGTGCACACCCTTCCCACTCATCCATTTGTCTCTTTTCTTATCTCTGCATTTCTTATTCTTGGACCCGTCGGTGACGAGCGGTGGGAAAGACAGGAAGGATAGTGACGAGACGAAGCGAGCCCACATCCTACATCATATGATTGCTTCCGGATGGTCTGCTGTCTATCTATTCGTTCATTCGGTTGACCACTTACATCTCATCCCTTCACTGTCTTGCCCGGTTTGGAGGGTAGGTGCCAAAATTTGGGTCATATTTTGTTGCCGGGGCCCTTTGGAGGGCATGTGGCATTTGTTCTTTAAACACCACCGCCCGGGCGGGGCTGTTCAGAGCCCCCCTCCCCCCTGCCCCATATCCTATCATAGTCGCGTGTGCAGCCTGGAGGGGGCCACCCCCTGCTGGTCTCAGGACCGAGAATTAGCCTTGGCCCTTGGTGCGGGGTTGGTGAGGAGGTGCATAGCCTCGCCGTCTGTAGGGAGTGCTTGCCGTTTGAGCTGCCCTGAGTTCATGGCATTGCACTTAATACCAGTGGGGGGGCCCAAGAATCTAACCAAAAGGCATGTGGATAGTGCATCTATCCATCTGACCGTCCGTCCGTCCGTTCGTCCACGCCTACCTGCCCGCACTCCCACCCACCTCCCTCCATCCATCCATCCGTCCGTCCGTCCATCCATCCAGCCAGCCAGCCAGCCATCCAGCCATCCAGCCAGCCAGCCATCCATCCATCCATCCATCCATCCATCCATCCATCCATCCATCCATCCATCCATCCATCCATCCATCCATCCATCCATCCATCCATCCATCCATCCATCCATCCATCCATCCATCCATCCATCCATCCATCCATCCATCCATCCATCCATCCATCCATCCATCCATCCATCCATCCATCCATCCATCCATCCAGCCTCTATCCATCCATCCATCCATCCGTCCGTCCGTCCGTCCGTCCGTCCGTCCGTTCGCACATGCGTCCGTCCATCCATCCATCCATCCGTCCATCCATCCGTCCCCATCCATTTTGGCAGCCAAAATCACTTAGTCCTTTGTGCAGATAGTTTCATTTTGTGGTCTCTTTGGCTGGAATCGACCTCTGGCAAAACGTGGCTGCAGGTCGCTTGGCATTTCCGAGACTTATCCTGGAGGAGCCTTGGGGGGCTGGCGAGTGCTTTTAGGTGAGGTGATAAATGGCTGTGGGTCAAAACCAACGGTACCATTTTGGGGTAGGTGCACCACCCATTTTAGAACCTATGTTAGTGGGGATTGGGATGTTCACTGGGGGTACGATTGGCCAATATATATTTTGACTGCCAATTGCGCTTTTCTTGAAGGGCACTGTTGCAACTTGCCGAGTCATGACTTCGAATGAATCGAAGGAGAATCACACAAATCAGGAGGCACAGGCGAATCAAGCATGCAAGTCAGGGGCGCCTGCCATAGAAAACCCACCCTGCTTCAATTCCGCAGCTAATGACTCCGAAGCCAGCATTGCGCAAGTAAACTGTCGGCTGAGGGAGGAGAAGAGGGACCATGTTATGTACCTGCAAAAAACAAGAGGGTTCAATTGCCAGGTTGTGTTACAGGCTGCACAGGGTGCCGTTGGATGGGGCTTCTGGCGTGCTGTCCATTGTTGTTCCTGTGTGTCTTATGAGTCTATGAGTCAGTGACATTCAGGATGATCAAGCTATTCTTGACATCCAATTGCTTTCTTGCTAGAAGTCTGTGCAAGCTCGTTTTGAAGGGGAACTCAAGGACGCCGCCTGTGCATGGCCGTCAAGCAATATCCTTTCCAGGACTTCCCTGAAGCCCGAGCAGGCGGGCGATGCGTGTTGAGAGGAATCCGAGCGACTTGACGAGCGAAATTCCAGTAAGATGGTGAGGTAACACCGCCAAAAACAGGGTAACACCGATCCTTCTTTATAGAAAACCTCCGAAAAGTCAGGGCCAGTTTTTGGAAAGTACGATGGATGTGTCCAGATTCTGTTCCATCCTTAGTCTACGCTTGAAGTCTTTCACGAACGCCAACCAAAGGCATTGACTCTAAGATGGCTTTGGTATTGGGAACAATCTGGCTGCAGTGTTTGGCTTTTGTGGGGTCCAACAATCAAGATGGGTTTGGATGAGTATAGAGCTGGAAGGAATTGAGCCTCCAACCTCCACCCCACAAAGGTACGCGTGGGGTGGTGCGCTGCCATTGCGCCACAGCTCCAACACTCTGCACTGCTGTGTTTTACCATAGAGCTGGGCGTTGGGGGTTGATGCTTCATGGTACACTCTTAGCCCTCGGGGTGGTACTGCAAATCTCAGAGCGTCTGGACCCTTTGGATCATTCATCATTTACATTGTTGAGTTTTATTTGTTCATCTTCCTTACTTTATTATGATTATTATTCTTATTATTTTTGTTATTATTATTATTGTTATTATTGTTATTATTATTATTATTATTATTATTATTATTATTATTATTATTATTATTATTATTATTATTATTATTATTATTATTATTATTATCATCATCATCATCATCATCATCATCATCATCATCATCATCATCATCATCATCATCATCATCATTATTATTGTTATTATTATTATTACTAGTATTATTGAAGATTACATTCTCATCACGAGTTCTTAAAATTGGCATTATACAGATGAAATAACAATGTTTTCAACATATTTTCAGAACGGCTTTGTAGAAGCGAAACACATAATAAAAAGCAGAACGACATACATATTCAATGAAGTCTTTTGCTTCTCTTGACAGCTCCAAACTTATGAATTCCAAAAAATAAAGACGAAAAGACCAACGATTGATACGTAAAATAAGCTATTGAATGAGTGAACCGGATGTTGACGCATTTATAGCTCACTTTCATTCGTGCCTCATCTCACCATTGTATTTCTGGTTATCTTTTTATTGGTTGTGTTAGGGACATCTAATTACACATTGTTGAGGTTGCTTCCATCCAAGCCTGAAGCCTTGTGCCGTTTTGGCAGCACTGCTGGGAGTTCGGAACGTGCCTCTGCCACTGCAGGCGTCCATGCTGTGCAAAGTCTTCGCGGATCCGCTGCACCTGATTCAGGTGCTCGTGACTCTTGTGGGAGGCGAATGGCGAGCGAGCCGAATCACAATCACGGGGGTTGGTCAAGAATTTGGGCCGCTGGTAGCCCCTTTGCAAAATGGCGTAGGGTCGGTGTGTGTGTGGGTCCTCCGCAATAGACAGCTTGATCTGCCGCACCGTCTGGACGTTGCAGAGGCCTGGATCTGCAGGGCTTGCTCGGCAAGGGCGTGAGCTCGGCGGCGCTGCTAGGCGAAGCGCGCTGAAGACGGGCCGAGCGGAAGATGTCTTTGGGATCCCTAACCCCTAAGCCCTCAACCCGAAACTCGCGAAAGCCTCGAGTTTCTTCAGCCTTTGAGGTGAGAGAGGTAAAAAAACCCGATTTTGAGCCCGGTTCCCACATGCGACGATTCACACCAATTCAGGTGTAGGCCTTTTTTGTTTTGTGTAAATCTTCTGGTCCTTTCTCCTTTTTGCTCTGGCAAATGGACCAACCACGAGTACTTCTGCCGGGACCGAAGCGGCGCAGGCGCGTTCCTCCTGGGCCTCGAGGTGTCGACGCTCTACTGCGTGCCACTTGCGCAAGAGATGGTCGCAAATTTGGCGGGGGCTTGGAAGGTTGGCCCAGCGATTGGTGATTGGTGTGCTTTCTCAACCCCGTTTTTGTTGGGTTTCTCACCGTTTCTTCTTTGGTTGGGAGGGTAACACCCTACTAAAATAGACAGAACAAAAAGTTGGTGCCCTGATTCTAGCCTCTCGACTGGAGGACCTAGGGAAGGTTGGCGTGCTAGCGGGTTGGCGTGTTGGCATGTTGGTGTGTTAGCGTGTTGGCATGTTGACCTGTGTTGGTGTGTTGGTGTGTCAGTGTGTGCGTTTACGCACGTGGTTGCGTGTTTTTCGGTGTTCCATGTTTCCTGTGTGTTCTTTTCTTTCTTTCTTTTTTGGAAGGACTGTTTGTGATGTGAGGCATGTCTGCAGGCATTGGTTTGCCATTGCCGCAAGTTGAAGCGGAAGCCGGCCGTCCTTTTTGTGGGCATCGCCGTGTTCCATTTGGCTGTGGGTCAAAACCCTGGGTCAAAACCCTGTACCCCTGGTGAACAAATAGCTGGTACATGGGTGTTCCGTCCACTTTGTGGAGGCATCAGTTGTGACCTATGGCCATGGAGAATAGCTCTTGGGTTGGGGCCAACTGACTGGGTAACTTTCTGGCCCCAGGGCCACAAGGAGCTAGTTGTTGACACTATGGGCTTGGCACCGTAAGGTCAACCCGCCAACTTGTTTTTGGGTTGGGAGGGTAAAACCCTAAAAATGGACAGCCGAAAACAAGGATCGGGCCTCGTTCTAACCTCAAACCACTGGAGGACCTAGCTATTGGAGACGATCTTTGTATATTTTTTTGGCGCCGAGAGCGCTTGCGCGCTTGCGCGCTTGAGCTGAGGCTCGCCAGCAGCTTCGGTGTGCCTGTGACCCTGGTTGTAGAGGAGGCGGGAGCCGCGGGCTTGACTGGAGGTCGGCTTTGGGCTAAGCTGCTTAAGGCTCCTTAAAAGAAATTCATTTTGCCTTTCCATTTGAAACATGTTGCTTTTTCAACACCAAAATACAGGGAAACCAGCATTTACAAGGCAATGTTCAGGCGTATAATGTAAGGATCCCTGCTTAGCCTCCGTTTCTTCGATTCTACAGCATTCGCGGGAAGAATCATCAAAGGCATAAAGGTATGTAGTCTTTGAGTCTCAACATTTGCGGATTGACTGCAGGATTGGCTCGCCTGAGCCTCTGCATTTTTTTGGTCGTTGTCAACCAGTTGGCTCAACAATGAGAGAGCTTGTTGATCCCAGGTTGCCATGGGTCAAAATCCAAATCCCGTACCCCCAGTGAACAAACATCCCAGTCGCCACTAAATCAGGTTCTACAATGGGCGGTGAAGTCACCGAACCCCCCCCAACAATGGGATCCCAAGACGGTTTTGACGGGTCCACAGCCAGGTGAGCCTGGGCATCGTGAGGTGCCTCAAGGAGTCCCTGAGGCAAATCATCGCCCCCATGCTGTCGCCCGACGGCGAGAGGCGCTCGCTGCTCGCTCGCTCGGCTGGGTGCTCGCTCGCTGCGAGAGGGGCGGGAGTTTGGAGCGGGCTGAGACCTTTTCAAATCTTATGTTGGGCTTTCCGGTGACAAGACTTTGAGAGACTGGTTGGGGTGGAAGCCAAGGAGGCCCAGTCTGATCCTTGCGTTCGGCTTTGGGATTTGTACTTGAGAGAGCCCGGATTAGTATATTTGCTTGGCATGAGCTGCTCACCAACTGCAAACGTCTGCCAATCTATTCCCAAACCCAAGCTACCCAACCTCAACTGCCCCAGTCCAAGAGACTGTCCAGTCCAGTCAGCGCCGTCATCTTATTCTTTGGTTCCTGCCTTTTCTTCAAAGAAATCCTTCGCCCCAGTCGCAGCTCAACATCTTGGGGTTGTCACTCGAAGAAAAAAAACATCGGGACCCGGCCGTTTTTTTTCTTTTCTTTTATTTTTTTTTCCTCCAAAATCCCCGCCCCCAGAGGTCTGGGATGCCATTGCACCATTCCTTTGAACTGGCATCCATGGAGATCTCTTTTGGGACTTTCCACATTGAACAGTGGAACCCTAGAGTTTGGATGAACTCGTGGAGATGTCAAAATCTTTGGGGATTTTCCACTTTGGAATGTGGATGCGGATTTTCCAAAAGATCTTGATTGTAAAGTTAGATGTGAAGACTCGCGGAACCACCAGCGCGCCCCCAGAGGTTTCGTCTCAGACATTGTCCTTCTGAACCTCAGACCAAACACCCTCAAGAAGGTCAATCGAATTCCTCGGCGGTGTATTTTGCGGCCATGGGCGAAGCGTAGAGCCTCCCAGAGCAAGGTGAGTCAGCCCAATCCTCAGGCGGGGGATTCTTCCCCGTCTAGAAAGTGCATTCAGTTCCGAATGATTCTTCCACACTAGAGCGAGTTTTACCATGTTATATTCTTGAATCATATGGTTCTCAACATGTGAACATGTTTCAAGAATCGATTTGCAATAAGCAGTGTAGAACCAACCATCATATTTGAAACATTGCTATCGTCGTGCTTGTTTAACTATTGAATACTTGCCAGTCTGCCGATCTGAGGGTGGACCGCCCAATCTCCACACATTTCCCACAGGGCTGGGGACAAGTTGAATCCGCCCAATCAGTGGACACGTTTGGCTCTTCAACTTGGCGGCTGCCTCAGGCTTTCCTGTTCTCCAATCCCAAACAAAGGGGCACGGCTCCAAACATGGACACATCCAATTTCACTGGGAGGCCACCACCGAAGGACCGAAGGGGCAGTGGTCGCTTTCTCAAGTGCGCGACAGGAGTCGGAAGGCCACCGCCCACGACACAGGACTGGCCCAGTGGCTTCTCTGAGCTTCTCTGGTGCAATAGGCAGGGAATGAGGAATGACTCCTAAACATATCCCCTATGGTTTCCTTTATATAAGGGATCCCCAGGTTCATTCCACCTCATTCCCTAGTTATCGCATGAGCCAGTGATGTCTCCGGTTTCTTTTTTCCGCGGTAACTCGCAGGAGTAGACTTGCCCTTCAGCGTGGGGCTCGGAGCCGGCTTCCGTCCCTGAGATTTTGGGGTATCGGTCCGAAGCGCCTGAAACGGGTAGGCCAGGGCCTTTGGAGGATACAGCTTGGTAGCAGAAGCGCAAATAACCGGCACATTTGACGTGTGAGCGTTGAGTGAAATGAGCGTGCTTGGAAAACACTGGTGAGAATTCAGGGCTTCGCCTTGGCAACAGCAGGCATTTCTCCTAGTTGCATTCAAATGCATGGGTGAAAGTGGACGGCGAAGTCCCTTTGGGGCAAGTGAAGCAGGGGTGGCATCCAATGGTGGCAAGCCGTGGAGGAAACACCTAAATGCGATGATGATTGTTCCTGCAAGAGGGGACCCAACTAATCTGAGGTTTCCCTACGCGTCCGAACTTGTAGGACGCGTACACACGTACACACGTACGCACACCGCCAAGTGACCCCCTACCTTTCGTCAGGTCTAACGGCGGCGCCAGAATCTAAGGGTGGAAGTACATACCCCTTGCTCATACCCCTTGGCTTCCGTGGTTTCCAACCCCCTTCATAAGGGGTACATACGTCTTTTTGGGAGAGGATATGATATGAACATCAGCAGGCCTTTTGGGTCCATTTGTCCAAGGGGTATGTGAGTGTGGCTCAATATGAAACCACCAGGGGACCGCAGGTTCAAAATTTTAGCCATGTTTCCATTTTCCAGGGCTCTTGCCATTTTGGGGTTACCCTATGTTTGACAACCACACACATGTAAAAGGGGTAGGTACCTTGGCACCCCTTTGCTTCAAAATCATTTTGCCCCCACTGCCCCTTGGCATCGCTCTCACGCCGAGGTGCTGAAGAGGGCACCACGCTGTGCACCTGCGTGGCAGACCTCATGCAGGCGGGGGAAGGTGACAAGTTCTTTTGCTGGGTTCATCGAGGCTAATAATTAGAGGGGAGGTTCGGGAAATGCGTGCGGGTCAAAATGAAACCACCCACAAATCCGCAGGGGTTGGTTTTATTGCCAAATGAGTGGTTCTATGAAATTCGCTTTTCACCAGCATTTGCAGGGCAAACTTCGAGAATTTCAGTATGGACTACTTGGCAGTCACGGTTTGTATGAGATTTCCTCGCAGAAAGCACTCCAAAGGGTTCCTGCTCTTGCCGGAGCATTTGAGGGGGCCATGGCCGGCTCGTTGGCCCCTGGAGAAAAAACAATGCTTCGGACAAATTGCAGGCTTGCCAACCCTTGAGGCTAAAGCTGCACGCTCCCCTGAAACAAAATGGCAGCGTGTTCCAAGCAGAAAGCCTCAACGTAGCTCAAGCCATCCAGCTGTTCCCAGGTTGTTGGAGGATCCAGCAGGAAGCCATATGTGCTACTTGCACATGGCTTGTGCATTTCTATGGGTTTGTCTGTTTGTTCAGGGGACCCCCCAAACTGGTGGCTTTCAATTTGTTTCTCCTTTGATTCAGAGCCGCAGCACAGGGAGTCATGGGGTCGTGAGCGCTCTGGCTCTGAATCAGAATATGGGCTTGTGTCCTCCAAACAAAGACGTACTCCCTTGCAGACACCCCACAGACAGCACATGTTTTGAGGGGTCTCCTCTTGGGGGACGCCCAACAGCCCATACACAACCACAGGCCAACCAACTCCTGAACCTTAAACCCTAAAACCCTAAACCCTAAACCCTAAACCCGGCAGCGCAAACATAACCCAACAGTCCATTTTTGCGGGTTTTCGCTTTGGGGAGTGCTTGCCAGCGGTCGCCTGCAGGCCATGCACGAGTTTCTGAGCCGGCATAAGCTGGGTGAGGACCAGCGCCTTGGCCAGGAATGGCGACGTTTTGGGCCTTCGGAGTACATGGAGGTTCATAGAGGAATCTCTCCAAAGCGGGTGGGGTGGGGTTCCCTAAGGCTCCTGGAACCTTTGATGATGGAATGCCTACGGGGGGGGCTGGGGTGGGGACTTGCGACCCCAAAGTTGGGAAAGGCGGCACCTTGAACCGCATGGAAAGTGTCGAAATTGGTCGGCGCCCCAAGTTCGGGTTGGTAAAAAAGGTCTGGAGGCCTCTGATTCGCTTTCCAGACTGCCATAAAAGTACGGGCTGTGCTCCGCAACGGGCAGTTCTGGCCTCGATTCTGAGCTCAGTCCCGTTTGGTGACTGGACTGATACAGACGGCGTACATGAAGGTTGGTCAAACAGGTCGGCAGCTTGTGGGAATTCCTGGCCGAATCATCATGAGAATGATAGAGGGACTGCCACCTGTTGTAGACACACTCAAATGCAAAAGAACAAGAAAAGCAAAATAAGCCTTCGGACTCATCTGCAGCATCGGCTGGCAAGCCTCTTTGTGTCGCAAAATTCTTTGACGAAGCGGTCCCTCCGGATCAATCCGTTGACATCTCTGGCTGTATCATTTTCAGGGATGCTTCTCTTCAACAAGCCTGCGTCAAGAGAGCGCCCCCTTCCAAATACTGCCCAACGAATTCAGCGAGGCATGTCGAGCATGTCACTTTGAACTTTCAATACCCTCTCACCAACTAACATGGAAGTGCAAAAAGGGCCTTTCCAAGAGGAAAGTAGTCTTTCTACAGGAGTTTGTGCACTTCCATGTTGGCTGGTGGGAGGGTAGTTGAGAATCTTTTTCCCCCCAGTGTTCCATTTTTTTCACCTTGGCAGCTCCAGGTAGTAAAAGGGGAAACCAGGGTCATGGGCCTCCAGACGGAGCTATGGAGCGGGGCTATTTCTTATCGAACCCTCAAGTTTTATTTGGTGCTTATACCAGACTTATCTAGAGATAAACCCCGACGGATCCTTGAAACTCGTGACACAGGCGCATCCACCACTTTTAGGGGCAGTCTAGTTTACTTGCTGGTCCTCAGCAGGAAATGCGGGAATGACCCCTAAAACCATCCATCCTATGGTTGCCTTTAAGGGAATCCCTAGGTTCATTCCCAAAACCCTGATTCATTCCCTACCGACAGCAAGTTTAGGAAACACCCATGACAGGTTGGGTGAACTCGAAGTGGGTTCCAATTTGCCTTGCTTGCTTTGTAGGCAACACCCTTGTTAAACGGATTTGGGTTGTTGTTTGGTTGACATGGTTTATTCTCGCATTGCAAATGCATTCATTTGGTTTGTGACGTTTTTCATTCCCCCGGATGGTTTAAAGGTATACGGTTGTGAAACGAGCATATTTGATTTCTCAGTAACGCCTTGCGCCAAAAGGAGCTTGACACTGGCTCCATTCAAGTGACATCATGGCGGTTTAAAGGAGCCACGTGCAGAATTGGAGTTGTTTTTGACCAATGCTTGCCGCGATTTTGCTCGCTAAAAAGCTTGCTGGTCCTCAGCGCGGAATGAGGGAATGACCCCGGATAAACCCTCCATCCTATGGTTTCCTTTATTCAGGAATCCCCGGAACCGGTTCCTTCCTTAGCAACACCCGGGGGTTCTACTTTTTGAGTACTCCAAAAGACTTGCACCCAGGGGTTCTCCTTTTGGAGGGAAGGAACCACCCCTGGGTTTAAGTCTACCTTAGGTCAAAAAGTAGAGCCCTGGATGGGAAACTGTGGGAATAACACCCACTGGGTATTGACCCATTGGGGCACATTTTTGGAGAACACCTGTGTTATTTTGAACAACCATTCTGTGTCATTTTCCAAGGGTGTAATCCCAGGGTGTAGTCCCAGCCAAGCCTTCTGATGCCTCAGAAAAGCCGGACCTTGAAATTTGCGACTGCAACTGGAAAACCGCGGAAGCAGAGCCGGAGACCGTGCAAAGCCTTTTGGCAAAAGCCCGGCTTTTTCAGTCTACCCTGGTCAAAAAGTAGAGCCCTGGACGGGAAAGCCCTCAGAATGGGAAACACCGAGGTTGCACCAGCTCATCCACATGGCGCTGAGCGTTTTCTTCCTGGAGCCCAACTTCCGGCTCTGTTCCACCGCGGAGGAGGCGACGAGGGATGGGCGACGGGCATTTTTTTGGGAGGAGCTTGCCGGAGAAAGTCTCTTGGGACGATGGAAACCAAACCAGGAACTGTGTGCAGGTTTTCTGCTTGTTTGTGGGAGGGTGAGGTTTGTCGCTTCTTTTGGACCTGCCAAGCTGCAGACAAAGACCTACAGTAGATGGACAAATTAATCAAACCGTCAACAGATGCAGCGCACACCCCCCCGTACCCCCCAACGTCAATGTTACACTAAATACAAGTGCTTTTCATGTCAACGGGGTTTGATTTAATTCGTCCACCCAGCCCGACCCCACAAACGGGCAATAACATTGAAATTGGGGTTCGAGGGGGCGCGTTACCGCTGAAAGGGTTTGATTAAATCGTCCACCTACGGTACGGCTAGTGCTTCGGTTCCAGAATTGGTTGCTACGCGCATACTATTTGACCCTGCGCACGTTCATTTTGAAAAAGGCGTCTGTTGAAATCTGCGTGGCTTTCCCCGAGCTTTTGCAATTCCTAATCCGCAGGTGCTTGAGTTTTCGAGTTCCAAACCTGCGGTTGTTCGACTTCCTCGAGTTTTTCCACTTCCTAATCCCCGGGTGGTCCAATTCCTCTGGTTTTTCCAGTTCCTAATCCCCGGTTGTTCGAATTCCTCGAGTTTTTCCAGTTCCTAATCGCTGTCCCAGTTCCTTTCCAGTTCCTTTTCCAGTTCCTTTTCCAGTTCCTTTTCCAGTTCCTTTTCCAGTTCCTTTTCCAGTTCCTAATTAGGATTTGTTGTGTTTTCTCAGCAATTGCTTCTTGATCTTGAATTCATTTAAAGAAAAATAAAAAGTATTTGTTTCTTTTTGTATTTAAGCAACTTGGGATGACTGAGAAAACACAGCAAATCCTAATTAGGAACTGGAAAAGGAACTGGAAAAGGAACTGGAAAAGGAACTGGAAAGGAACTGGGACAGCAATTAGGAACTGGAAAAACTCGAGGAATTCGAACAACCGGGGATTAGGAACTGGAAAAGCCCGAGGAACTGGAACAACGGGGATTAGGAACTATACCTACTCGAGGAATTTGACCACCCGCAGGCTTGGAACTGGAACACACAACTACCCGCCGCGGAAGTGCAAAAGTCGAGGAAAGCCACGCAGATTTCAACAGACCACCAATTCAGGAACCGAAGCGCTATCCGTACTGTCTGGTCAGGTAGTTTTTCAGTCTTTTTGGCCATGGCAAGATGAAAGTGTGTCTTCGCAAAGCCATCTGCCGCGCAATGTCCTCACTTCACTCTGAGAAACATATGCTTGTCTTTCGCGTTTCTCCATTCCTTTTTGTCTTAGCAAGTTTAAAGAATGTCTTCTAGTCAGTTGCATTGCGCAAATCCGTGTCGCCATCGCTCTCGACGACCGTCTGCTGCGCAATGGAACAACTACCTGCCCAGACAGTAGATGGACAAATTAATCAAACCGTCAACAGATGCAGCGCACACCCCCCCGTACCCCCCAACGTCAATGTTACACTAAATACAAGTGCTTTTCATGTCATCGGGGTTTGATTTAGTTCGTCCACCCAGCCCGACCCCACAAACGGGCAATAACATTGAAATTGGGGTTCGAGGGGGGGCGTTACCGCTGAAAGGGTTTGATTAAATCGTCCACCTACGGTAGGTCAAGGGGGTTTCTTCGAAGTCCTTTGTTCCTCGACAGCGACAACGGCCAATTTGCGGGCGGTCCGCTAGTCCTTCGGCGGGTTTTCCTTGGGAAATCTCTTTTGCTATGATGATAGTTGTCATCATCATCATCATCATCATCATCATCATCATCATCATCATCATCATCATCATCATCATCATCATCATCGTCTCTTTCCATCTCTTTTCATACGATCCAAGCTTCCAGGGATGGCCACAAGCCCCGGAGAAAGCCCCCAAAAGGCCTTGGAGCCTAAGTGGACGTTAGGTGCTGGTGACCATCTTCTCCCGGCACAGCGCGCTGCGGGGCTCCGTGCTGCAGGACCCACACCCGGCGACCGGGCTTCCGTCGTGGAAATTGCCGGGGAGGGGGGGGGGGGGGGGAGAAGTGGAGGGGGAGGGGGGAGGGGGGAGGGGGTGAGGGGGGGGTGAGGGGGTGAGGGGGGAGGGGGTGAGGGGGGAGGGGGTGAGGGGGGGAGGGTGGTGGGGGGAAGTGGAGGGGGAGGTTCTTGGAGCTTCCCCACAAGGAATTGTGGTCTTCCAAGCCCTCAGCTGCTTGATTTTGTTGAACAGAGAGACTTATTTTTCTATGCCACCTGAACCATTTTCCTCTTAGGACCTCGAGTCAGCTTCCATCTTGGGAGTCAGTGAGTCAGTGTGGTTGTGTGCGTGCTGTTTTTCTTTGGAGGTTTGCTTGGATGTTTAAGGAGGATCTTCTAATTTTTGAGACAAGACCAAATGGAGGTTTGCCAGGCTCATGTCTTTGATTCTGTTTCTGGGTTTCTCGAAACCTCAGGGGCGGCCAACAGTGGTGTTTGTTTCATTGGACCCACTTGCATGACCCCTTGAAACTGATCTTCCAGGTTTCCTCCGGTGACCTTCTGCTTCGACGGGAACGGAACTGGGACCTCTTCGACTCGGGTGCCCGAGGTTCCTCACAGCCCAAGCCAAGCAAACTCGCGCGGTGAGTCGACCCCGGTCCATGAGCGGTCCGGGTTGCGCTTCGCTCCATCAGAAGAAAACGAGGTACGTCTTCTTTTTTGGGTGCTCCTATTGCAACTTTTAGTGGTCCGGGGCCACCCCCAAGGTACCCCCTCAAACATCTTCATTTTCCATCCCTAAAAAAAACACTCGACATTCTATTCTTCTTCGTTTTGAAAAATCACCCCCCAAAGCTTACCCGCCTGAAACCCTTCCCTTCCGCCTTACCAGGAGTTCCTGAGCCGCGCGCCGCGGCTGCCCAGCGGCAAGAAGGCCAAGAAGTTCCAGCTGCCGGCCACCGAGGACGGGGGGAAACCGCCGGGTCGCCTTGTCCCCCGGATGGCTTGGGCTGGGGTTCTTTCAGACAGAGGAGGGGGTTGGGTCAAAACCCAAAACCCCTGGTGAAGATCAAAATAGGTGGTACATGGGCTGGGGTCATAGGTGTCCTTTTTTGGTTGATTTGGTTGGAAAATAGAGGGTGATTCCTGGTTTACCTGGCCTTTTAATCATCTACCAGGGCCATGTATTTCCCCTAAAAGGACACCTATGGCTAAAGGTGGCTGTGGGTCAAACCCAGAAAACCCCTAAATAGGCGGTACATGGGTGTTCATCCGCCCCAAAATGGAGGCATAGGTTATGACCCATGGCCAGGTGAGGGTTTGTGCGGCGAACGGTGCTCGGCAGGGTGCTGGTCATGCTCGGCCTGGTGCTGTTTGTGCGCTCAAGATGCTGTGGTGATGACTGGCAGTGCTGCGTTGGGGCTGCAGTGGTCAGGGTGCTGGTCAGGGTGCTGGTCAGGGTGGTGAGGGTGCTGGTTTAGAGACTGGTCAGGGCGCCGTTTGGGGTGAGAGAGCTTCATGATGTGCTCAAGGTGCGGGGAGGTGCTTGTTCGGAGATGCAGTGCTGATTGGCACGCTCGAGGCGTGGTGGCCGTTGTGGGTGTTGGTCAGAGTGCTTTTTGGCATGAGGGTGGTGTGAGTGTTGCCGGCAGTGCTTGTTTGGTGACGCAGTCAGGGTGCTGGTCAGGGTTCATTTTCAGGCTTTTTCGGGGTCCCCTAAAGATTGACACACCCTCTTGGGAATCCACTTGCTTTAGATTTGGAGTGTTTTTTCTTGTTGGCATCCTTTCAACAAAAGAAACCAAGAGGAAACTCACCCTTCTTGGGGCATGCCGAATCCTACTTTGACACGAGCCCATTTAGGGAATCCACTGTACCCATCCCAGAACAGGAGCTTGTTTTGGGTTTGTTAACAGGGGCTTCCTTTCATGCCCTCACAGAAGGCACCTGCCAGTTTCCTTTCAAGGGAAGTATCGACATATTATATATATATATGTATACATACAAACACACATACATGGTATACAAACACATGGGTTTGTCTCAAAGTGACAAGTGGGTTTTGGACCAAATTGCGGTTTCTTTTGGTTTCCTCTTCGAGCAACCCCCAAAAAGGGTCCCATCTAAAAAGGAACCGCCCGTATTCAAAAGACAGGCCTGGAATTCCCTCTCAAAAGGTGGTTTAAACATCACCTTTTGCAAAGGGCTGTGACAAATGATTTTTGTTCGTGGGTTGATGTTGAAAGAGAAATACAGGGAACCCTGTCCGAGTTGAGCTATGGTTGATGGTACGGTGGATTTCAGTTATTACAAGCACCTTTTGTTTGCATGTGTAGCTTTATGTGGACTACCTTTAGTGGGGTGGAGGGTTTCTTTTGCTTAGCACCGGCTCTGGGAGCTGGAACTAGTAGGTGAGGAAAGATGGAACGTATGGATGGTTGAGGGTTTCTGTGCTGTCATACCTTTTTGCATGGAGAGAGTCCTCATGCCGCGCAAAACAAGACGTACACAACCGTGGGCAACAAACAACTGTCGCAACTTGTCAGTGACATGAAGGTGGTGGGCTCCAGGCTTGTTTAGGCGAGTTGGGGGCGGCTGCGCTTTAGGTACTGGGATGCTTCAGTGCTGGTTTTTGGGCTTGTTGGGGTTATTAAGAGTGGTTAAGGGCTGGTGTAGGATTGGATTAGAGTTGGTTTCGGCCCTATAAAGAAGTGGGGCCATTAGAACAAATAAAGACACTAGTGGAGAAAGTGCGCGATTGCAAACCAGGACTACCAGGTCCTAGAAAGAAGCGGGGGGTTGGGGGGGCAGCCCTATTTGCGAAACAAATCCAGACACTACTGGAGAAAGTGCATGATTGCCATCAAGGATCACAAAGCCGAACAAAGAAGCGGGGGGATGCCCATTAGCAAACCAGATCCAGACCCTAATGGAGAACGCGATTACAAGCAAGGATCATCAATTCGAACAAAGGGCCCTCTTTAGTGTCCCGTCCTTTTTCGCTTTCCCTCCCCGTGTTGCTAGTATCAATCTTCAAAGGCATCTACGCTAGTGAAGGGAATGCTTTTTGGTACACTTAGCAGGTTGCAGCCAAGAAATGGACGGTACTCCCCAAAATCCAAGGTGATAAGTAGACACGGTAAGTATTTGCCTGTGGCGCACCAACCCACTTATTGCCACTGTTTTGGAGTGCTGCTGGCATTAAACTAAAAGCATCTGCCCATGACGTGATGACTTTGGTTCTTAGTGCCCGGTGATGCGAATCCTATCGACGCGCATCCAAAGTTTTTGCACAGGAGCTGGTCGCAACTCCAGATTATTCTGAATGGCCCTAATCGTCACCAAAAGTCGCTATGAGGCAATGACTCCCCTTGGGTAGGCTCAGCAGTATATGAGGACAGTGCGGCGTATGGCCTGAGCACCTGGACGCACCTGTGCGCGGCCCGGGACCGTTTTCGAGAGTCTCAGTTGTTCAGTGGCTCCCTTTTCCCCCCCTTTTTTTTGGTGGCTGCCCCACTAAAATGGTCTTCACAAAAAAGGGTTCCTGTCTTTTCCAGGGTCACTGAACAACTGAGGAGTTCAAGGCACATGGGAGTTTTTCTTGGCTGTTCAAAAAATCATACCCGAATCCTTGATGGCGGTGGTTGCTGCATTGCTTTGCTTGTAGCCGCGCCCCACTACGGATCTCAGATGAAGATCAGGGAACTCTGCGTTGAACCACTCAGCAGGGTCCCCTCCCCACCCCACCCCTCCCCTCCCCTCCTCCCTCCCTCCCTTCCTTTCCCCTCCCCTCCCTTCCTTTCCCCTCCCCTCCCTCCCTTCCCCTCCCCTCCCCACCCCTCGCTCTAAGAATTGACGAGCTGCTCGCGGAGTGCCAAGTGCTGACAGCTTTGTGCGCCGAGGCTTCTGCGTCTTTGTCAGTCCAGCTGTTTGCCCCTGCGGGAGCCCATTGGCGACGTGGGCGAGTTTGCGAGAGGATGTTGTCTAATCAGACTTGGCAAATGGGTCAAAACCAACGGGATCCCATTTTGGGGTAGGTGAATTCGCATGGCCACTTGGCAAATGGGGGCTCGGTTATAATTTCGGTAACCAAAAGAACCACCTTTAAAGATCAGGAGGAATGAATTAATTCGTGGGGCTCAGGGCCTTCTAAAACCACGTTGTTCCAATGGAATACCCCAAGACTTCGGCCGATCCGCCGCCCCATGCTGCGGATGCCGCTCGTTTTAAAGCCAACGACCTGAAAAAGTCTTTGGGAACTGGAAGACGGGACGGGCATCGATCTTGGTTTCTGATATGGGTCTACGGGTGCTCTCAAATTCGGGATTTCGTCGCGGTTTCCGTTTCCCGACCAGTGCCCTCAACAAAAATTACATACACATATCAAGCTTGCAGGTCTGTGGGTGATGGAGGCGCAACCGTGGCACCCAACAAGTTTCTCGAAGAGACTCCGCGCCATTGCGTTTTGGAGCCAAGCGAGCAAGCCAGGGTAATTTGCAAACTGATTGCACCTATCAAACAGAGAGAGCATGTATCAAGCACCACTTTGTGGTTCCTAAACCTATCTTCCCCAAACTTGATTCTTAGAGCTTGAGAGAATCTGCCCATAGACCCAAACAGTCCGTCTTCTTCGACCCGCTTTTTGGTCGTTTGCGCGGCCTTTGGGCCCTTTTTCTCATGTTCGGCTCTCACCGGCGCGCGACTTACACGACGAACGGCCAGGGGCCAACGTGGACTTCGACAACCTGCTGTCGCAGCGCCCGGCCTCGCAGAGTGCCGCTCGCTCAAGCGAACGACGCTCTTGTCAGAAACGGCTCGGCCGTTTTTGGATGCGATTTTGTGGGTTTTAGGGGTTACCGTCTCTCCCACGTTGACATAGCACCTGACAGGGAAATGGTCCCTCCAAAAGGACAAATTGATCATCCAGCCACCCAGGTGCCACGTTGGGAGGAAGGGTAAAGGCCAGACTGGGGTTAAGGCCAGAAACTGGGACCCGAAATGGGGGAGAGGATCCGGGTCCCACCCCAACCACTTTGGAGGTTTTCCATGATTCATACCAAAAAGTGGCTGATGTCCCTGCTCCGATTGAGTGATCCGGTTTGCCTCTTAAGGGACGGTTTTAATGGATGATTGTTGAGAGGGTAAATCAGAAGCATCTTGCTTTGCATGTATATCCTTGGAATTATCGAAAGCATGGAAACACATCCACAGCATCACAGCTAGAGATGGGTTTTTCTCATAAATCTAAAGCAAGGACAGGGCCGATACACATGCGGCATGTGTCAAAGTTTTGAAGCCTGCGCACATGCATACAATCACTTTGAGGAAGTGTGTTTGAGCAAGTGTGTCTGTGCAAGCTCTCTGAGCAAGTTTTTCTCAAGTTCTCCGAGCAAGTTCCCAGCGCAAGTTATCTGCAGTGCTGACCCCAACAGCTAGCCTTCCGAGTACGATTTTCCTTTCGGACCTTCGAACAAGGACTTCTGGCTAGAAAATCGCAGCTTTCAAGCACGAAGCCAGTACGCAGAATACACTTTCGCAGCTCCGGCTAGAACATCGCAACTTTTAAGTGAAAGAGTGCTACGAATGTGTGCTTCGGGCAACGTTTGTACTTGCTAACGTACAAGCCACGTGGATCAAGTGGGATTCGAGCCCGGGGCCGCTCGCTTCCAAGCGCCAGAGCACGGGACACAATTTCGGCCCCGCTCCCTCTGCCAATCCTCGCAGAGATAGTGCCAAAAGCGCAATAGTCCTCAGGTGGCCAGGCGAAACTGCCAAGCTCCCCCTGCCCTCCCCCCCACCCCACCCCCCCCCCAGTAGCACCCCTGGCCGGCGACCTGCGCGTGCTGCGGGCAAAACATAGATGAAAAAAGCAAAATATATAGATGCATTTGTAAACCAAGGTGAAAAACGGTACCCTTAAAAAAAAGCAAACCCATTTCTCCGGGGGGGGGGGGCGGTCCAAGTCCCGATGGGTGTGCTCTTTGTTTTTCAGCTCGGAGAACACGGAATCTTCGGCTTTCCGGTTGGTTTGGGAAACCAAACCGACCTACACAACCATGTAAATGGCTTCACTCACCAACACAGGGAGCGTACCTCTCGACGATTGGATTCGATTCCAATCGGTGCATCGGACCAAAAGAGGCCGAAGCGGTGCCCAAAACTCGGCGCAAGTGACGAGCCCGGCAGCGAGGTGGTGTCCCAGCTCATGGCGGGGCTTCTGCAGCGCCTGGTGCTGTCCAGAAGACGGGGCTCCCAAAAAAGCGACCGGGGGGTTGCCAGTGCCGGTTCCGCAGTGGCCGAAAAGAGAAATCTGGTCTGGTTCCCTGCGTTCGACTTACGGACGTTGGAAATCGCAAACAAGTTGAGGGTACCTTGTTTTTGGTGGGGTTGTGAGGGCTTGGGAAAAGGGGGAGGGCTGTGGGGTGGATGTTTTTTGGTAAGCACCAAACCTTTTCCGGTTTTGTGGACAAAGAAAAGTGGATTCCATGAGCAGAATGGCGAGTTTTCATGGTTTGCGGCATGGCTGGAGGGGTGATGGAGTATGTGTCGATATGTGCAGCTTGGGCTTGCTTTTGTGTTTTCATTGAGACCACTTGAGAACCCGGGCAGTGTTTGTGCGTCTGATTTGGTGCGTGATGGCGCGTAGCCGCTGATGCGAGACGAGATGCTTTGTGCGAAGTAGTCATTGGGATCGCCAGCTTTTGGTTTCACAGAATGGTTTAGTTTTGACCGCCATAGTTTTTAAGTGGAGTTTTTTTTTGGCAGCCATATATTACTTTAGTTTAGTGTTGGGATGTGGTGGTTGGAGTGGAGGTTGGTGAGTTGGTTGGAGTTGGCCGGCATTCCATCGGCCATGGTCATGCAAGGGAAAGGGGACATGTGGTGAGAGTCAGGGTGCTTTTGCTGAAAATACATGGCCATCGATCTTCATAGGGAACCACCTCAAAAGTGATTGGAGGGAACCATAAATCCCCACCTAAATGATGTCCACCAAAGGGTCCCTTATCAAAATTATATCCACATGTGTTTCACCCTATGAAGCTTGGACCTACCCTGAAATCAGTGCTTCTGGCACTCATTTGGACCAGGGGTGATTGCAGTCTCAAGCTGCGAGATGAAAGCTGTGAGCTTGAAGACCGGGAAACCAGACACAAGGACTGGGCTAGCCAGAAAGTCTCTTGGTATATTTACGTTTTCGGGAATCGACTTCGGGAAATTCCGTTGGGTTTCTGAGCTCCGCGGTGCCCAGGAGCATGTCGCAACCCTCCGGTCAGCTTCAAAACGGCCGCCGGTTTCGTGCTCAAAACCGAAAAAAACCGAAGGCCCCGAAGGCCCACAAGGCCCACAAGGCGCGTTTTTTTCCCCCCTCTTGTTTTTTCCTCTTTTTTCCCCCCCCTTTTTTCCCTTTTTTTTTTTCCGGGCTTCCGAGGCAAGGACGAGGAGGCGCGAGCCATCCTGGAGGCGTCGGACCCGAAGCTCCGAAGCGGGGAAGTTGGGTGGGGGGGGTTTAGCATCCGGGCTGAATGACCAGGAAGAAAGAAAGCTCTTGGAGTGGGCTTGAAAGGGAAACCCGAAGCGAAACTCCACATTCCTATGGCCTCTTGGCTGGGACTTCTTTGGACCTACCTGGGTTCTTCTTTGCAAAGCGCAACGCATAGCACCTTTGCACAGTCCCTTCGGAACATCCGGGTTTAGATTCACTTGGAGTGATCACATGGCCACCAATCCCACATTCACCGCTCGGTGAACCTGGGTGGTTCTACACATCAGACCACTCCCCCCCTAAAAAAAAGAGAAGGGAAAGCGGCTTGGGCTCAAATTTAGGGCTTCCCCTCAAAAAGACGCCACTCTTGAGAGAAGGCACGGGACAAATCCGCCAACTGCCTATGGTCACGCCAGTGCGCCCTGGTATGAGGCTCAGCCATCACCTCTCGCGTCAGCATTTCCCCCCCCCTCCCTTCTGAAGAAAATGAAAAGGGGGGTGTGGAAAAACAAAAGAAAGGAAGAGGCTTGGGATCAAATTTTGGGCTTGAAAAAAACTCCCCCCCCCACCAAAAGAAACACAAAGAGAACAAACAACACACACACACAGGTAAAAGGGGAAAAGAGGCTTTTCATTTCGGGCTTCCAACATCAAAACAACATGGTTGTTGTTGGGACACATTTTACATTTTCGCTTATTGTGGTTTACTGGTTGAAATCATCAACCACTGAACTGCTAAACATTTTGAGAATTTTTGCTCCCCTAACCCAACGTCAACCTCGAACCAACCCTTCGGGTTCCGGGGCCGCCGCGGCACGCGGGGCGGCTGCGCCGCCGCGGCGCGGCCAGGACTTTGCCGAGGAGTTGCTGCACGTGGCCTTCAAGCCCATGTGGCCCGCCGCGCGGAAGCCAAGGCCTGCCTGCCTCGGTGGGAAGAACAAGGAGACAATGGGTGGCTCGTCTTTTCTTTACTTTGGTGCATTTTGCCAAGGGATGTTAGGACTTTAACTTTTTGATCCAACTAATGGGTTTTCCGTTAAACCACTACAAGTTAAACTTGTAGCAGGGGAGCAGACAGCAACCGAGATTATTTCTGAGTTGGTGCCCATATTTTTTTGGTGTTTTAAAGGGACATCGCAAGGAAGATCATCAGTTTTGGGGGGACCCTAAAAAAAGACCCATCCATATGGGGGTGCGCTTTTTTTTGGGGGGGGTCTTTGCTTGGAGCTTGGTAGAGCTCGGGAGCTTGGATTCAGGCAACCATGGTAAGGGTAGGGAGGCATGATGACCCACAGTCTCGTCCATGTGAGAGGGACATGACTCTAAACTTCGAACAAAAACCAAGGGACTCTCTGACTGTCTACCTTACCTTCGTGAGAGGGTATATGAAATTTGACTGTGGCACATGTGTGCAATGGTCATACCGCCCTTTTGCTTGGGGTTGGTAGGGACTCGCTGCAACGCCGGTGCTAATCTTCTGATTGCTTGTTCGCAGTGAGGGGTACGTTCCAAATTTGGGATGACCCTAATTGATCATTCACTGGAGAAAAGCACATAGGCCCCAAGTCTGGAAAGCCCTTCTCATAAAAAATCCAAGCACGGCTTCGAGTTGCAATATGTCATCTCGAAGAATTGGCAGAGCAGGACTTCAGCACTCAGCAACACACACTCTCCAGCAACTCAACAGGGAAAGTCGCAGAGGCGACAAGAATTGGAAGGGAGGAGGGAGCCCAAATAAGCCCTAAATAAGGCCTTATTAAGGGCTTGAGAAGGGTTTTTCTGGAGCCTCCCAGTCCCCCTCCCTCCCTCCCCCCCAGCCCCCATAAAAGCTTGTGTCAACTCGCCTTGCTTCGCAACAAAACGCGTCCCGATACCTAAGGCGGTGGCGCTGCCTGGGCGGCTCAGAGGTGCTTGGGTGGAGGAGGTAGTTGAGTCATACCTTTGGCAGACACACGCAAACACATACACACACACACACACCATGGTTTAGCTGTGGGTTGCGTATCGTAAACAACGGTTTAGCTGTGGGTTACGTATCGTAAACAATGGTTTAGGTGTGGGTTTGGGCAGTTGAACAATATAACACACGCACACACACACACAAGGGTGTGGGTTTGGGATGGGTTGAGTTGCGGTTTTGTTTGGTCTTTTCGACGGGGTCTTTCAACCAAATACATGGCATACACGAAGGGCGGACATTGGTTTCGGCGAGTCTGTCTTACACATTGGGGACAAAGTCCATGGAAAGTCAGGGCCTTCAGGAAGTCTGTGTCCGGCCTCGATGCAGGGCATGTTGCTTGTCATATGCTGATGGGCTTGAATCAAGTTCTGGCGTGGCCTACTAAGTAACTACCTTCTGGCCTAGAAACGCCTTACTAAACCATTTGGGTAGAAACCAGGTTTTGGGGCCCTCACTTGGATTGCCAGGATTCCGCCCACACTTTCTCGGCAGGCCCCTGGCATGTGCGAGTCACCAGCATTCTCCTCAAGGAAACCAAGTTTCAGCCCGCATTTTGACCCCTGGTCACATCTGGGGGGTGTTGTGTTGCCCGCTTTGCCTCCCTTGTCCCTTAAAGTGAACATTTCAAGGTGTTCTCGGAATTACTTTTGGGGATGGTGTCCCTTTAACGGATGCCTCTTTGACGAACCCAGTAGGTCTGGCGCGACGCGATGGCACGGCAAGTAAGGCTGCGGCTGTTGCTGCAACAGCTCATCGGCCTGTTACAGGAGAAGAAGCAGGCAAGGTGCGAGTCGAGAGTCGGGCGGCGACCAAACATTTGGACGCCGCATCCTTCAGCAGCAGTTTTCGCAACCGAGACAGTTTTCGTTTGCCATCTTGGAATGCAACACGGCGTGCGGAACCCAACGAGGGCGACATGTGCTTTCAGCGAAGCAGGAGCATCTCTTCAGTGCGAAGAACACCTGCAGAAGCAATACCTGAGTTGCTTCTTGCTGCTTGTCGGAAAGGATGCTCGAGAAGCTGGCAGGCACTTGGCAGAGTCTCGGATTGCTTGTTGCACAACAGCAGCTGAGTGGCCACGCTAGCATCACGTGGCCACAGATTCTTAGGATAAGCATAGTACTGCCCACCTTGTCCATTCCTGACCATGCGGCTCGTCTGGCAAATTGCTAAAAGCTCCCGCAAGCAGAGGAGAACATTCGGGGACCGGGCGCAAGAGTTTTTGATTACACCCTGGGATTGCGCGTCCCCTGTAAGATCACAAGGTTTTGTTGGCTCCTACAACATTCGTGCAGTGAGGTCCATCCCTTTGCACGCGAACAAGGCTTGAGCCTTTAGATGGCAGAAAGAAAGATCCCCAATTCGGCGAGTTCTCATTTGGGAGGAGCTCACTGTCAACCTGAAAGACCATCCAAACCAAAGGTTGTTTCAAGTCGCAACAAATGCCCATTTGTGTATCAAGCAAATGTTTTCAGACTGAGCGACATGCAGTATGCCGGCACAGCATCGGCAGTTGATTTGAAACAGTGGCAATTCACACATTTTTTTGCGGAGGCTCCTGTTTGCACAGACCAATCTTAGGGTGTGCCGCTCTCACTTCTCATGGGACGTCAAATCGACTGCAAGCCTCAACAAGAGCAGCCAGGCTGGCGACATCACCGTGCGCGAGTTTGCGCTCAAGCTTTTGCGCCGCCGGCGGGTTTAGAACATTCCTTGCCGGCCGGGCAGGTGGGCTTGGATGTGCGGACCAAGCATCGCTTTTTGTCCCAACTAGGTCCCCCAGTAGTGCCCTTTTACCCATTTTTTTGGGGTTCCCCTACTAAAATAGACTACAGAAAAAGAAAGAAAAGCTGATTCTAACCTCTCTACTGGAGGACCTAGCCAAGCTGTTGCGGTGTGGTGCTTGACCCTCAACTTGGCGCTTAGCTCAGAAGCTGGGGAGCGCACCGGCGCAGTACCCTAACGGAGTGATCCATGCAGGTTGGTTTCCTAAGACAGACGTTTTTTTTTCTTCTTTTTCTCCCCCCTGCAGAACCATACACAAAACAGCCCCCGCCCCCCCCAATTGTAGGAACAAGCATTCCGACATGTTGGCAGCAGTGAATCATTCACTGAGGTCAACTGAGGGCCCAAACTCCTTGGCCACTTCAGGCGAGGGGACAGTTCCGGTACAATTCTTTGGCGTTTTGAAAAGGGCCCCGAATCCGGAAGAAGCATCATTCTGATTGCTGAACCGGTTTTGAGCCGGGCGGGATGTTACCATCAAGATGTTTCAAATGAATAGGCACCAACGCATTCAATGATTTGCATGCTGAATTGTACTGAGCAGACCGTTTTCCTGTCACACCTGGGCGAGCCGTTATGTTCTTCGCTTCTTCTCCTTCTTTTGAGGAGATCCTCTTTCGAATTCTGGCTGTTCCATCTCAAACCAGGGCACCTCTTGGAATGCTGCGCAGAGCAGACCAAGGGGACCCCAAACGAGGTTTTCACAAAAGGAGAAGTCAACAGAAGTTGCAGGGGGTGCTCAAGTTCTTCCAGTGGCCCCAAATATCAAGGAGCTCACCGATTGGGGGCAGAAACCAGCTTACCCCTTGAAGAAGGTCTCTTACTTGGGGCTTGCACATTTCAGGTTAAAAGCTCGTAATCATTTGTCCTTGTCGGGCTTATCTCTTGCTCTTTCTTTTTTTCGTTCTGCTTTCTCCTTTTGCTCTTGGCTCCAAGCTTTTGAACGGCCTCTGACTCCCTTCGCCATGGACCTACCTCCGGCGAAGCGCCACAAGAGCAGCAGGGAGGAGGAGCGCCCATTGAGCCGGATCGAGAGATCGAGAGATCGTGAGGGCGCGCGCTCGAAGAATCCTGGACTTGAACCCTTCCTGTCCCACTGTTGGGTATTTTCCAAGGAATTTCTTGGACCCGATTTGCATGGAGATGGGTGTGGCTCCAAGTGAAAAGTGCAGGGTTACGCCACTTAGGTGCCACGCGCAAGGTTGTGGCTCACCCAGAAAGGCTCAGATATGGGTGTACCTGCGTGCACCTTGGTATGTTTTAGTCTTTGCCACTCACCAAGGTGCCATTCTGGTGTCCATTTTGTTGAGCCACAGCCATATGCGGAGGTTCTTGTGTTCATCTGCCAGATCTGGCGATGATCTGCCAGATGATTGTCTAGGTCCCCCAGTAGTGCCGTACCCTTTTTTGGGGGAGGGTACAGAAAAAAAGGGTACCCTTATTCTATCGAATGGCTGTGGTGTACCCCTAGTGAACATCAAAATAGGTGGCAAATGGATTCCACCCCAAAATGGAGCCATAGGTTATGCCCCATGGCCAGATGATCCGTGGCTTTGCTCGGTATTGGTGTTCAGCTTGGTGTTCTACGAACTACGGATTTAGTTTCGGGGTCGTGTTTGAACCATCCAGTTGCAGGGTGCCTTCCCTTTCCCTGTTCGGTTTGAGCCATATTTGGGTTGAGTTCCTTTGGGTAAATTTGACCGGCTTTCAGGGATTTTGACCGGTTTGCAGGGATTTGGCCCCAGTTGGACCGGCTTTGAGAGAGGGAATATGACTGGTTTCAGGCGGGATTTTACCGGAGTTGGAGCGGTTTTTAGAGGGAATTTGACTGGTCTAGATGGGAAGTTGGTGATGTGATCGGTTTCTTGACCGGTTTCTAGATGGGAATTTGACCGGTTTAAGGGGGTTTCTCTTGGGATTTGGCCGGAGTTGCTTTGAGGGCGGGGGTGTCTGGACGCAAGATCCTTGAAGGGATCTCAACGCTTCCCGGCCCTGGGGCCCGCTGGGAATTGGTTGCGAGAGATGGGGCCAATTGATCACTCCAACCCTGTCGCGTGATGTTCCGCGGGATTTTTCCGCTGGTGGTTAGATGTTGAAGGGGCCATTGCGGAAACGTCTGCCCGTCCGCTCCTTAAAGCCGTTAAGTGTCTCGAGCTCGCGATCTCTCCAAGCTTCCGATGCGCCAGAGAAAAGAGTAAGCTGTGAAAGCCGTCCCCCAAACAATCCAACTCCGGGGGTTTGTAGCAACCCCGTCTTTTTTGTTTGTTTTTCCCCCCCTGCCCGGTTTATTTTTTTGCAAAAACAAGATTGCAGTTTGGCCTCTCTTCTGGTCTTGCGAGTCAAGGGTGCCCCAGTTTTGTCAAAGTTTGTGGGACCGTCCCGATCACCGGGCTAGGAGAAGGCCGCGCTGGTGGCGCGCCTTCTGGAGGCCAAGGAGAGGAGCGGGAAGAGCTTCGATGAGTGGCCCGGCAAAATGGGAAAAGAGAGCCAGCGGCAGCAATAGTTGACCGATTCCATCCATATGGCCGTGGGTCAACACCAATGGTCCCATTTTGGGGTAGTTCACTGGGGGTACGGGGTTTTGACCCATAGCCAGATTTGATAATTGCGAGAGTCTTCATCATCCATGAGCCATGTTGTGATTTAGCTCCGGCCATGGGTTGATTATGCCTGCACCAGGTCACCTCAACAAGCAACACTAGCAGAAAGAGGTGACTTTTTGGTCGAGTTGCGACCCGGGGCCGTCTTCTGATTCGAGCAGGCGTCCCTTAACCCAAGCGAAGGGTGTGCTTTTTTCACACGGGGGGGGGGTATCCCGTGTGGTCTTTAAACGTGAACCAAAAGGATACCCACCATGTTTTCTTTAAACGGTGGACCTTCTTATTGGATGGTAAAAGAAAACCAAAGAAGGACAGCCGTAAACAGGGTGTCCCGAACCTTCCAATGGCTGGCCACACCCCTCCCCCGTTTCCCCCCCCGGCCCCCCAGCTTTTGCTGGTTCTAATGGATCAAAGGGTCTGCTGACATGCTAAAGAAGGGGTCAGCTCAATACACCCAGTGGGAGTTGCTTTTGTCGAAGCCGCTCGCACGTTGGCGGACCAGGGAACGGACAGGTTACCATACTGCAGATTTTTTGAGAGTGGGTCTGGATGTCTGAAAAGTATAGGAATCTGAGGTTTTTCCTCGCGGCAACCCAAGATTAAACAACTCATGGTTGGTGAAAAAGGGAGGTGGGGGGCGGGCGTCCCATTTAGCATTTTAGGTGACCACCCGTCCAGTTCTATCGTTTTTTAAATGGGGGTTTGGTTCATTTGATTGATCAACTGACTTGCCAGGCATCAAACCAGGAGGGTTTCTTCACCCTTTGTTCTTGTGCATCCGCAGGTTGAGCCCCAATGTCAACTGGTGAAACATCCGGTAGGCAATCTGATGAGTCCGTTGACCCTTACCCTAAGCGGTCCCATGCGTCAGTTGCCAAGTAAGCCTTGAGTCCTGTGTTCTTTCTTTTTTTTGGGGGGGAGCTTCCTGGCTCATTTTTTCGGGCAGGCTTTTTCTTTTGGTTCGGATTGGTGGCTTGGGGATTTGACTGTGGGTCAAAACCAATGGGATCCCATTTTGGGGGTTTTCGGTGAACTCACCACCCATCCTAGGCTTCCTATTTGAGTGGTTGGATTGGGTCCCGTTCACTGGGGGTACGACGTGGAAGCGGTATCCAAACCGCGGGGCCCCAAAGCTCATTTCTCGGCTCGAGCTTTTCTCGGGATGTCCAAGGCCCTTTGGTCCTTTTGGAGGGAGGCGGATCCATGTTTTTGCCGGTTTTTTTTTTTGGTCACCATTTTTTTAGTCTCTTTTTTTCATTTGTTTTTTCTCTCTTGTTTTTCTTCTTTTTTTTCTCGTTCTTTTCCGGACTGGTTCCGTTGGGCTTTCTCGCAAGGCTCGCCAAAGGCCTGGGGCTCACCAACGGTTACACGGCCCCTCGGCTCCGAACTCTGCGACTCGGTTTCCGCCTAGGCCAAGTTGGGGTATCCCCAGCTTTTCGGGAGGCCAAAGGTGGGCTGAAAGCCGTTCGGTTTTGGGGTGCAGTCTCAAAATCGGACTTCGGTTTTGGCGGCTTTTCTTCGTTTCCCTGTTGAGGTCCCCCACAAATTGGAGATCCGACTTAAGCTATACTCACATTTGAGCCACGATCAAACTTAATTCTTGACATGGTTCTGGGATTACGACCATGTTAACACCGGGTTTTCTTCGCTGTTCTTGGCCTGTTGTTCGGTTTTTTAGTTTTTTGGTTCTGTTCATTTTTACTGGGGGTCTGCAACAAACAAAGTTTTTGCTACCAAGAGTAGAGATGAATTTTGAGCAAGTGGCTCATTTGCCTTTGGGCATGTTTTCTTTGCCAGGCGAACCTCTTCTTCAACCAAGCGCAGCTGAAGGCTCCTGCCGCCGCCAAGCTGAAGGACAGACGGATGGCCGGTTTTTGGGAGGCGATACAAATCGCCCGGGACAACATGCGAAGGTTCTCGAAATGGAGATCCCCGAAATGGTTGGCTCCCAGTGGTGCGCTTTTTTCCGCTTCTTTTGGGGAAGGGTTCCCCTTTAAACTCAATTAACAAAGAAAGGGTGTCCTTTGTGTCCCATGGCCACTGGGCATCTGAGTCTCCCTTCTGATACCAAAAACGGGTCCGCCATTTTGGGAAACTTTCACTTGTGGTAATGGTCATGGGGATGCAGTTGATGTGGCTGACTCAGAACGGGGAGATTCGGGGAAAAGGCCCGACTGCTGGGCCACGAGCAAAGATCCAAGCCGTCGCAAAAAAGAGTGCCTGTTGGGGATGATTCCATTGACAGTGACATGGTGACTCAAAGGCAAACCACAAATAGTGTTTGAAGCTTCAAAATGCAGC